TATTTATCTTTTCAATAAACTTGAATGATATTATCTTTTTAAGATATTTATCTTTTGGATAAACTTGGATGTTCTTATCCTTTTAATATTTAAGTTTATCCTATCCCTATAAACACTATAAATAGGAGCATAACCTTATAGTTTCAAAACTTGAGAAATTAGAAAAGAAATTGAGAGAGAGAGAGAGAGGGGATTCTTGGAGGAGATTTGGGGCTTAGCTTGTATTTTCTTAACTTGGAGCAATGCTTTGGAATCGAGGTAGGGATTTCTTAGGGGCCCTTTACGGGGATTGATTTAATTAAATTTCGTGAGCACTATATTATGCATGATATTATTATTTGAAAGGCATAATTATATCATTTCATGGGAATTTGCTGGAATTCTTGGGTAAAGAAAGTATGGAAAAGAGGGTAATGGGAAGGATCTTTTGTGTAGTTGAGTCTAACTCTTTGTAGGTACCAAGTCTCAGGGATCCCACAGTGCACATGGTTTTTATTGGGTGATTCGGGACTGGCGAAAGGGAGTTAGACAAGATGACTAACAAAAGGGGAAATTATGGGATGATTGAGATGGATGTTAGTTCATATAAATGGGCATTCGGGACCAAGTGGTACAAGCATGGAATGAGACGTGCAGGTCTGCTTGTCCAGTTATATGAATTAACGGGAGTAGATGAAGAGCATTCATTCATTCATGTATTATTAATAATGTGATATGTAACATCCCAACCCAAAATATTAATAAGTTTGGATTTAATTAAATTAAAAATGGAATTTCCCAATTTTGCCCTTGAAGTGGGGGCAAAAAGGTCAATTTTTATACGAGAAGATTTTGGGACAACTAGTGGTATTTCTAGGAAGGTGGTACTGAACCAAGTCCGTAGACACGCGGTAGGCTCGATTCGGACTTGAAACGAAGAAGATACGATTGAAAAATCATCGAGGGCCTAATTGAAATTATTTCAAAATTTAATTTGATTAAAATCAGATTTTATCCCTCAATTTCTCATTTCTCTCTCTCTCTCTCCCCCGACTTCTCTCTCTCGCACGCGAAACCCCCTCCCCCGTACTGTTCACCGACGGCCATTTTTTGACAGCACCGCCGCCACGTCGCACCACCGGCCGCGAGACCAGCCCAGATCTAACCGCCGCCTCTCCCTCTTCCTTTCCCGACCAACCCTGACGCCAACCGTCGCCGCCAGCCACCGAAAATCGCAGAAAACTCGCCAGAACTGTCGCGATTTTTCAGCCGCTCGTTCTCCGCCGTCCGGCCACCGATTCCGACAAGTGAGGTATGGTTTCTCATCTACTTTTCGTGCTCTAGCTGGCTGTTGGATAGGTTTTGGCTGATTTTTAGTTTTAGCAACTCGAATTCGAACCCTAAAATCTGCCGATTTTCAATTTGAAATTCCGGCCACTTCCGTCGAGAATTTAGGGTATGCCCAAGAACAAAAGTGACTCCAAAATAGGAGTATTACCTAGGGTAGGAGTTTGGAGCCAAGATTCTAAGTTTTTCCGGTCACCTGAACAGTGATCAAGCTACCCACGCGCTGCCCGCGCGTGGGGCGGCGCGTGGGCTGTCCGGCAGAGGTCACATTTATCCTAAAATGATCCTTGTGTTGTCACGAGCGCGTAGGAGTTTACGGATCTCAATTTGGATATCGTTTGGGCCTCGAACGAATTAGACATATTCTGTGATTATCGGGTTTGATGTGTTTGGACCGTTGGATCAAACCCAATTTCACGTATGTTGTTCCTGGTATTCATAGGATCGTATGAGAACTCGCGGATCGTGAATCGGAGCCCCGGATGTTCCGAATCATCAACTTAAAGTTTTGACCGTCCGGTTGACCGAGTGTCTTCCGAGACTTTTCTAGCGCTTGAAACCTTTAGTCGGACCGTAGAGACGTCTCGTTCCTCGTACTTAAGGGAAACCCGGGAATTTAGGATTTTACTTTAAAGTCTTATTTTGAAGAGTTGGATTTTAATACCGTGTTCCTATTCTGAAATAGGTAATCCGACTCCGCCTTCACAGCAGGCAGGACCCTCTCAGGGTCACGCAGCTTGGGATTACTTGTGAGTGGACTTTGTTTTCAAATAAATAGCATGGTTTTATCTTGGAATTTGCATGCATAAGAATTTAAGGATTTATTTAAAGTCAATTTGTGCTTTAAAGTGAAACTATTATGTTCGTAAAGCATTTGGTATATTTTCTGGGTTTTGACATTCTAAGTATCTTGAGTATATAAAATTGATATTTGAGAAATTGCTACCTATCTTTGTGGGCTATGTGTGGGAAGTACGGGGTTGTTTTATAAGATGTGGAAAGATGTGAGTATAGATTGTCGGTTTGAGGTGCTATAAGCACTACCCCGTGTACCTCCCCCTGGATTTGTGAATGGATTATGGAAAGGTGTGATACTTGGAAATGTCGGAACCCGGGGCATGCCCTAGCTGGGTGTCGCTGTAGACCCTTGATTGGGTAGTCTGCGCGCGTAGGACGGTTCTAGGCGTACGGGTGTTAAGCTCATAATTTCATACATATACATGCCCAATTTACTTACTTCTTTTGCTTAGTTTCTTATAATTTTGAGTTATTTGCCTCCCTTTGTGTGTTTTGTAGGCCAAAAGAGCAAGAGAGCATAATTCATGCAATTCATGCATGTTAAGGCCTAATTTGGATGAAGAGAAGAAGAGCTTAAAGACAAACTCATTTTGGCTACAGCCCCCTGTCAGTCCAGTTCCGTAGGTCATATTGCAAGCTTTGTTTCAGCAACCTACA